TTTAAGTTATAGCGTGACTGTGGAAATTAAGTGAATTTCAAAGTTGTATTGAGAAAGAATGAATTAGTTTTATTTAAGAAAGGACTTGTATCGCTAAAGTTTCTTCGGAAATAATTTTTACGGAAAATTAACAAATGAACAGAGACGTAAAACTACTTTATTAGGAACAGAACAAATTTCCAGCCAATGAGAAACTAGAATGAACTTCATTGACTTTCTGTGATATATATTACACATCGATCAGGTATCTTATGTATTGATATGTATCAATATTCATTGATTTTCTAAGATATTTTATTTCCGAAGTCTTCTGAGATATCCTGAAACTACTTTTTCATTAAACAAAATGTACAAAGTCTGAAAGGTTTTGATTTTGTAACTTAAATCGTAAAGCTATATAAGTGAAATATACGTTCGCAATGGATTCAAGTTGTTTAACTTTGAGGTTTTTGTTGAGACTGTACAGCTTGTTGCAACTTGACGTGATGCACGAGGTTTATTCATCTTACTTTCTCTCTCTCTCTCTTCTATCTGTAAATTTCAGAATCATTCACCGGCTCTTACACTTGATTCTTGCAAACTACGACCTGCAAAATTTAAGTATTTCCCTGGAAAACCGGATCCAGTTTCTACTTCGAGAAAAACTGTTGGTGAGTAAGAAAAGTAGCTATGTCGTTTAATTCAAGATACGCCATAAAACAGACTATAAGAAAAGTTTCTTTGTTTTAGAGCAAAGCCACGTTAGGCTATCTGCTGTGTATACCGCGGGGAATCGAACCCCGGATTTTAGTGTTGTAAATCTTTAGACTTACCGTTGTGTCATCGGAGGACCTATAAGGAAAGAAGATGCATCAACGTAAGATCTAAGGCCACTATCACACATTAATGTATTTACATTAGAACTAAGAATTATTTATTTCAAAGAAAAGTAGAAATAAGGCTATTTTAACGTGTTTTTTTTGTTTTGTTCTTTTGTTAGTGTTTAAAATTTTTTTATTGAGGGTTTTAACAGAAGCCCCCCCCCTACCCCGGTAGCTCAGCGATAAGTTTGAGAAATTATAACGTTAAAATTCGGGTTTCAATATCATCGATGGGGAGAGCACAGATAGTCCATTT